GGTATTTAGGATGAAGTTCCATTGCTAAAATGCCAATAATTCTAAAAGAAAAGGAAAATATTGGGTTTAGTGGTTTGGCATGCAAAGACGTGGGTGATATTTATAGGTTACAATGGGGGCCTTATGCATGCATTAATTGAAACCGAGATTGTTCAAACTACCCTTCGGGTTGGATTGGATTGCGATGAAAGACTAGGACCTACCATCTAGATCTTTGATGCAGTCAAATTTAAAAAAAAGAAAAAAGAAAAAGAAAAAAAGAAGCATACTTAATCTCAATATCTTTTGCGTGTGTTTATATAATATTTGGCATGCAAAGACGTGGGTGATATTTATAGGTTACAATGGGGGGGGCCTTATGCATGCATTAATTGAAACCGAGATTGTTCAAACTACCCTTCGGGTTGGATTGGATTGCGATGAAAGACTAGGACCTACCATCTAGATCTTGATGCAGTCAAATTTAAAAAAAGAAAAAAGAAAAAGAAAAAAAGAAGCATACTTAATCTCAATATCTTTTGCGTGTGTTTATATAATATTATTGTATATTATGCTAAGTCAATTAATTATCTATTTACGAATGCAATACCAACAGAAGTTCAGTAAACGTATTAAACTATTATATATAATCAAACTTTTTTATAAATTTTATATTGATGTGATCTATTGATTCAATATTATTAATTATTTGTGTCTCACCGAAGCCCGTTGCAATTTTGGGATGATACTAGAGGGCTAAAATATCTAACATATTCTGGATATTGGATGAATACATAAATATTCACAAATGCCAATACAGAACTTAATGTTATTAATTGATCAGTAGTTAAATAAACATTAATAATTCAGCCGTGAATTAAAGCCTACTATTTACTTTTTCAGATTTGCAACTTGTCAAAGAATATATACTTTGCAACTACAGAATATTTCTTAGCTTATTTTAAGATGGATCTTTAATTGAAACTTGTTTCATTTTGTAGTTCCAATAATGATTTAAACACCTGACTTTCGAATTTAACGGCCAAATAGATTTTATAACGTGCTTTCAAGGTTCCGATGCACGGAATATCTTTGTGAAGATTAAGTGTTGATTGTACTCTTAAAAAGCTGCAAATATGAAAAGATAACTTATATTTTTTTTTTTTCCAAAATTATATTGTATAGATGAGAAGGTAAGTTTATTTATTTTTTTCACTGAATTCTAAGGTACCCCATCTCTGGTTCTAATTAAAAAACATCTTTGTAGACTATAAACAAGATCTTATAATTAAGATCGGAGGTAGGTATAGCCAGTAGATTCACTTCCACTCCTCCTAATCACTTAATATAAATGGGATAATGACACATTTATACCCTTGGTATATGATAAGGTGTTAATTACGATAAAGATCAACAATGTTTATCAAGCTATGATTGTTCTTAATTTCGTTCAAGATCAAAACGTGAGTTTCTAAAAATCTTTTTGCAAAACATATATACATCCATTTGATCTTATATAATGATCTAATCTGCATCATTTTATCGAATGGAAACCTTTTCTTTTTTCTGACATTGTTTTCTCTAATCTCTCTTGTCCCCTCCCCCCCCCCCCTATTCTGTATGCCTCCACCAGCTGATGATATATACGGGGATATTAAAAAAATAAAAGAAACAACAGAAAAGCAATCTTGAAAAGTAATTGAAATCTTAATTAAGCCGCACGGGTGTTAGCAGCTAATTAATTAATGTAGCCCGATGAAGTTCCAAAGGACATTAAGGTTGATATTCTACTTATATTCCCACTACCTCTGTCTTGTGGAATTCTAAACTTAATATCTTTCGCCATTTAGGCAGCATTAAAAAAAAAAAAGTGGGTAGACCAAAAAAAAAGCATAATAAATATTCGATCCACTGGGTCGTCGAGAGCAGGTGAGAAAAGTTAAAGTAAGAAAAGGACTTCTAAATTTTATTGAGAATAGATTGGTATCGCAGAAAAATTCAATAGGTCTGGAAGCAAATCGAAGCTGGCATTTTTGAATACATACCACCTCCTGCATTTATGAACTAGCTGTGAATTAAATTTACTTTGAAATATGAGAACTTAATTTATTTTGCTTATCAAATTTTTTTTCTCTCGAAATATCTCTGTTGATTTTAAAAGATTCATACTAAGGAGTAATTTCAAGTGCAAAGTAGTAATTTAAAAAAGCCAACACATATTTATCATAAACTAATTAACTCAATTTATTTTTAATATTTTTAAATTAATTATCTAACTTTTATTAAGAATGGGAAAGAAGTTTTGTATACGTATTTATGCAAATATTAATAACATATTTGGACTTTGGCTGCTAAATCTCTATTTCTCCGTTACCTATCACCAGAACGTACGCTTAGTTTGTGACTATATATATAATATATATTATATTGATCATTCGATTATCTGGTTGATCCGTTCGTTGTTTGGTTTATTGTGTGGGTCATATCAATATTTGGTGGCGGCCTGAGAGGGGTGTTTTCTCAAGAGTTGAAACTTAAAAGCCCGATGTAGGTGGGTCGCAAATTTCATGATTACGAAAGAAAGAAATATGAAATGAGGATATAGATGCCAATGACAAGGTCAAAGTCATCACTCTTATCCTTAATTTCGTGGGCCGCCCTTAAAAATGCTAAATTAAAAAAAATTAGGGAAACATTGATTCATCAATAGATACATAATTTCATTTCAATATACTGTATAAAATGGCTATTCCATGGTTAAGTTTATTTAATAGACCTTCAAAGTCCAGGATCACAACATAAGCATGGAAACAAAAATTCTTAAATAGCTATTCACATCTTGTTATGTAGCAATAGTGTCATCATCAACACATTATATCCCATTTCATCATGTATCTTATGAATTGTATAATACTACCTCCGATACTATTTATAAGAGTTAGTTGACTAATTTGAAGAGATTTAGAAAAGAAGTTAAGTTAGTTATTTGTATTAAATATGTGTTATCTTTTATAAAATATTTTCACTAATCAAGTGTATTTGCTAGAACTATTATTATTAGAAAGACTATCTTGAAAAAAATATATAAATACGAGAGACACAGTGGATTGGGGTCTTATATTTAGAATCAAATTAAAAATAAAACAAAGTCTTATATTAAGGATCGAAGGTAGTATAACTTGAATAGAATATATATGTATGCGTGTGCGGGCGATGTGTATATATATATAGATATATCACATTTTTGAAAGATTTTAGACCTGGGGTTACTGTTGCCAATACTTAATTACTCCAAATAATTCAACTGACTCTTCTATCAACTTGTGAGTCCAATAAATTGAGTTTTTTTTTTTTAATCTCACTAGAAGGTTTTTTCAAACCAAACCCCTATTTGATTTGATGCCGGAAAGTATAGTGAAGCAAAACTTCCCTCCAAATGATCACATGCGAAAAACCACCATCTTTTACTCCCTCATTGGCCCATTTTCTCTGAACCAAACAGCTCAACAACCATTTAAATCTTACATACCAACTTATGTCCAATCCCATTTTCCATGGACGCTCCCTCTTTTCCTAAGCCCTATTTGAAACCCCAAGATTGTTTTATATAATTGGAGTCTTTATGGGGTGTTACTACCTGGAAACTTTGGTGTTGGAGAAATAATTTCATCTTCAGCAATGATTCTCACAAATCTGAAAATCCAGCAGCTGCTATTTTAAATTGTTGGAAGTCTTTTATAATTTCCAATGAATCTTTGTTGGGATTTGGAAGGTCTCAAATTGTTAATGTAACTTACCAAGCTCCTCCCGCTCATAGGGTTAAGTTGAATTGAATGTGGATGGAGCTATGACCAAAAAAGGAAATAGAGCAGCTTGTGGAGGTCTTATAAGGGATCATTATGCTTGTTGGATTGCTGGGTTTTCTCACAGCATAGGTGACTGCAGTGCAAGTGAGGCAGAAGAATAGGCAGTACTTAAAGGTCTTCAGCTAGCCTGCGACATGGGTTCCAGGAGAGTAATCTTTGAATCTGATGCCAAGAATTTGATTGAAATGCTGATATGTGGTAATACGGCACATGCTACTTTTTTTAATTGAGGTTCAGAATTTCACCAACTACACTTGGAACCCAAAGTTTCAATTTGTTGATAGAAAGCATAATCAGCTGGCAGATGCTCTTGCTAAGGAAGGGTTTTCTACTTCTTCCTTATTTGATATATGTCCGCCTCACCTGCGGACCTTGATGCAGAAAGACTGCATGAGGTTTAATCCCCTAGACTAGTGTTTCTTCTTCTTAGGGTGTTAACCCTCTTTTCTATCAAAAAAAGAAGAAGAAGAGAATGGAAAAAGACCCAAAAGAAAAGTGACACTGCCTGGCACCTGCCCAGTGGAATTATCTGTACCACTCACAAAACTACTTCCACATTGTTCTGGCCCAATTCCTTCCCTTTTGATTTATTTAATAGAATGAATAGATTACAGAGGCTGTAGTTATGGACAGAAATTGAGAGTTCCCATCATTAGTGGCATAATTTTAGATTTTTTTTAAATATTGTGTATTTAATTAGTCTGTTAAATTAAACCTAGATGATCTAGGTCTACATTTTAATCCTGTTATGTCAAAACCTTGCTGATAATCTGGGGCGTTTCCCTTTTCTATCTCGCATAACTTTCTTCAAATTTACACTCTATTGTGTTTTTGTAACTCTAAGAATACGAGTAGTTTAGCCCCCCCAAAACTCAGACTCCTCAGTTTGGTCCTTTTACAACGATCATGATGAGACCCCTTCTTTACATGTACGGGACAAAAACTAGTGTTAATAAAGAACATTATGGATTGTTTTACGCTTGTTTGAAATGTCAATGTCAGAATCGTTGGGTAAAATGAACCCCTCTTTCCTGGCTCATTCATTAATTAAAGCTAGCTTAATTTAGAAGTACAATATAATACTTGGCCATTCATAGGCGTCGCCATCAACGCACAACCATTATCTGAGTGGAAGGAAGGATGGAAGCAGACAAATACGAGAACAAAGAGGTTTCTTTATTCATATATATAATGACAGTAACTCCAACTCAAATGCGAAAGTACTACACAGGAACTATAACCCCAGTAATCATATTCCGGCAGCCACAAACACACAAACAATAACTTGGCATACGCTAGTTAATAAACCCCAACTTCAACACTAATAATCAAACACTATATATAGATAGATCCTTGTTGGTTGTGCGTCAGGATCTAATCTAGCTGAACTTGAGAGTCATAAGCGGCTCCGGCCTCCCAATTACTAGGAATAGCATTTCTGGCCTGAACCCAGTACAGACCCGCACGCCCTCTCACCTGGAACCTCAACATCAGGTCTCCACGTGGCGGGTTCTCTCCGCATCAAATACCGCTCCGTACGCTCTCCTCATGGGCCTCCATTCTTTGCAGTCCTCCTGCCACACCTGAACCGCGGTGATGTCGTTTTGGCCGGCGACGTAGAGGATGAGAACAGCGAAGTAGTTGGGGTATTTGCTGTGCTCGTGCACCTTGAGCACGATGTTGTAGCCGCCATACCTACAGGGGATCCTTCTGTATTCCACCTCCACGACGCCGTATTTGAAGAGCTCCTCTGATGCGTCTGGATTGCGTCCCATTCTAGCGTACGCACGTGGATTCATTACGAAGTCTGTTCTGTCCCCTTCCCCGTAGTCTGTCACCACCACGTATGTCCCGTAGTCGTCGCATAATTGTGGGTTCTTACACCTTACCTGTATCCCATCATTCCATAAAAGTTATTCTCCTTTTTCCTACCTTGTGTAGAGATAGCTTCCGTGTAATATTATTCAATCATATAATATCTTTATATGGAAGTGCGTTGATACACACACACACACACACACACATACTTGGTAGCAACCACCACATCCAGAGCCGTTCCTCCAAAGCCCAGACACGCCTGCAACGCTCCCATCGTTCACTGTTCTTCCGTATTCGCCGTATCCACAAGCTCCTCCTGATCACATATAATCATTAAAATCATATGAGTGTGTGTATGTGACCCTAGAAAACAGTTATTAGTGTAATGTTCTTACGAAAGCACTATAAACGCGGCTCTAATTAGTGACTTAGTGGACCTTATTATTTTTACAAGTGGCATTTGATCAGAAAAGTGAGCTTTTCTCCAAACTTTACACGAAACAACAGTAAAATCATCCTAAAGGCCATGTGCCTGGCTAACTAAAGGTTCCTATTTTCTTTCCCCCTGTACATACACGGATGGGGTTAGCGTTATGGGTTCAAACCACAAACCCATGCAAGCTATACAGCTAGCTACGTAGAGAAACCAGCCATTAGGCCAGGTACTCGTGGGGGGAAAGGATTCCGATATAAGGGGTGGAAGAGGAGGGTCACGTACTTGGGGTTCCATAGCAATCGGGGCTGCCATAATAGGTAGCTCTGGAGGACGTAAAGTCTTGGGAGGTACATAGTGCAGGTAAGAGCAACATCACACAGACAAGGCCTACTTGGTATTTAGAATGAAGTTCCATTGCTAAATGCCAAGTTCAAAGCCTCAAATTAACAAGAGCAACCAAGAATTCAATGCAATAAGGAAACTATAGATGATGAATATAAAGTAAGAATGAGAACAAGAGAAATGAGTTTTTGGGTTATAGAGCAAAGACATGTGGCGTGGTATTTATAGCAGAGGCCTTGTGCAGAGGCCACTGAAGTGGCATATTCAACTTTTTCTTCCACTTCGACTCGAAGCTCTTGATTGGATTGGAATAATAATGAGGGGTACATGAATGTACACACTAATTAAAATAGTTAACTCTCTTAATCATTATAATATATTTTGGAATTGAAGGCCTAATTATCATATTGACCTCCCTTTGCAATTCGAATATAGCCTAAATTAACACATGTTGAGATCTCTTAGCCATTATAATATACATTCTCAGTGATGATCGCTTTGTTATTATTACAAGATCAGAAGAGAACTTGCTCAGTTACGCCATCCTACTATATATTTTTAATGCTCAAGATTTGGTCTTTGATTCCTAGATGTGGATGAGACATTTTAATATAATGCTAAATCGCCTAACTATTTGTATTATTGCCGCTTTCTTCTGGGAATATTCATGAACCTACAAACTTATAGAGGATGTCTAAAACCCTGATGGGGATATATATTTTCATCAAAGAAAATAAAACGTACTGGTATATACTCTGGTTCTCATAGATGGTTGGAACTGTTCAGGGTGGAAGACACTTACTAAGAGATGCTCAGTATTTCATTAGTTATTCAAAATTAGGCAAACTCTAAAGTTTAATACCTTTACATAATTTAAAGTGTACTTGTTCGGTTCTTTATTCTGTGAAATTTATAAGCCAAAAGCGAAATATATGCACAGTAAGGAAAAAAGTCAAATATTACCTCTAATCCTGGTACACTTCGGCGGAAATTACAAACGTTACTCTCACTCTATTGTCAAAGATTTTATTTATTACTCTCTCGGATCCTTATTATAAGTTTTAAATAATTAATTTAAAGTTTTAAATAATTAATTTATGGATAATAAACTATTATTTAAAATTAGTTGAAAACAATAAATAGGTTAGAAATATATTTTTATTTTTAAATATACCCATATAAAAAAAATAAGAAAATAGATGACAAAGAATGTGAAAAAATATGACAGGAGAGAAATAATTAAGGGCAGTATTTAAAAATATGTGTTAAATATTAAGAAAAATTTAAATTAAAACTTATAAAATGGATCATACCTTTTTCTAGTTTTAAAACTTAATTATAAATAGGACCCAAAGTAGTTAGAGGAAGCTAGTTAATTAGAAACCCTAAACACGCATAACTGTTAATAATTACATTCCTTATATCAGTTTTCCTTTGAACCATATTATTCTCTCTCTATATATATATATTAATACATTTCCTATTATACATCTGTCATATCCCCATTTTTTGTAGGTGTAATATAATTATAATCAACTGGATGATACAGAAAATGTGAACAAGAAGAAAAAATCCCGAAAAGTATTTCAACTCTTAAACCACTAGTAGTTGATGCGTTCAAAATTCATTAATCTTCAGTGCCCTCTACTTCCTCATCAGATTCCCAAAAAGAGAAATGGATAACTTTTGAACCAACCCATTAACGTAAATAGGTTTGATTATACCTTTTGTATATATCCTAGTCATTATCAGAATTTGTTGCGTCGAAACCACAAAAACGAAATCATCTTTCTCAGCTCAAATTATTATTAAGTGCGAAGCTAGGACATGTGTTTGTACTGTTGAACTGATTTGGAAGAAGTTAAAGTCAAAAGCAAAGACCTTGCTTTAGGCATATATACAGGTACGTCTTTTTTCTCTTATTACAAGATTTAATTTTTTAAATAGGTTTATCTCTTTTTATAAGATTTTTTTTGAGTTTGTCTAAACATTTAATGTATTATTACCTATTTTATTCCAAGTTTAATGCATTTATTATATTATCTTTCTTCATTTATCTCACTATTACTCTCTCACATCTACCTATTTATATATAAAGGTATATTTAGAAAAAAATTGTATTTGCTACATATTAATTATTTTTTTAAACTGTGTAATTAATTAAAAAATTAAAAAATATTATAATAAGAGACGGAGTAGTAGATTATTGACCGTCCCTATGATAAATATCCTAGCTAGCAGCCACGTTTGGCTGTAACGCACTACCTAAAAAGGATATGTATGGGTCTTCCTCGTGTCAATTCCTAATTAATAAATTTGTGCAATTGGGTCCTCAGCAGTCAGCACCCACTGATTTTTTGTCGGAAGAAAACTCCTAATTGTTTTAATTAATAGTTGGAAAATATAAATATAGGTGTGTTTGCCAGCCCAAAACCATGTGGGCTAACACATATTAACTTTCATAAGGCATAACTTCTGACGTGTCATTTTCCCCTTATTTCGTCCTTTTTTCTATATATTTTGCTTCAAAATATCTTTCACTTAGAATTTTAATGAAGCATTAATTATTTTGTAATTTTTTTGTCCTTCAATAATAAAAATAAGAAGACTTGGGTCCATTTATTTATTCTCATTACAACAACTAATTCTTCAATCAAATCTCGACAGGTACTTGAACTATTTTTCCCCTCACTTGATCATTTTGCTTAAATATAATGAAATTATATTTATATTCATGGCAAAATCAAAGTGTTAACATTTAATTGGAGAAGAGGTCGTACGATTCTGACTTAAGTTTTGTCCTATGTTGAAAGCTAAATATCCTTGTTGAGCCTCAAGTATTTTGCTCAGAAAATAGAACAAAATAATAAGAACATTTTAGTTAAATATCTGTAGATTTTGGCACAATAATTTAGCCGAGTTAAAACTACATTAATGTTTATCCATAACCTTAAATGAAAAACATTTTGAAATGGAGGGAATATTACTCTATGGCTCCAATACCTTCACTTCAAGCTAATTGTAAGAATGATATCTAAACAGAATGAGAAAATTTAAAAAATCATAGTCCATTTAAGTGTCTGTTCTGTACGTCAAAAGCTTGCTTATGATGAGGGACTCGTCTGTGTCTAAAGCTTCAAGCAGGGGCGCTTCCCTTCCCCACCTCACACAGCTTTCTTTAAATTTACACTCTTTTTGCATTGTTTGTTTTGTAACTCTAAGGATACGAATGGTTCAACCCTCTGCAAAACTCAAACTTGCTCTGTTGGCCCTTTTACAACGACCATGAGACCCCTTGGTGGCAAAAAAGACAATTATGAAGAGGCCCCTCTTTACATGCATGCGACAAAAACTAACGTTAATAAAGAACATTATGGGTTCCTTTATGCTTGTTTCAAATGTCAATGCCAGAATGGTTAGGTAAGAACTAATGAACGCATTATTTTCAGGTTCATTCATTAGTTAAAGCTAGCTTTAGAAGTACAATACTTGGCCACTCATAGGCGTCCCCGTGGGCAAGCAGTCAAGTTAAATAGGAGAACAAAGAGGTTTCTTTATTCATATACCACCTCGGACCCTTAATATATTCATTCCAGCGCAGACACATATGAGTAATTAATTATTAACATTCAAACGCAAACGTATATTGTTTTATTCATTGATTCCGGTACATTTATTTGTTGAGAAGACATCACAAGACCAAACATATATTACGTACGATGTACGTTCGTTGTCGCTTAATTATTATCGAAGCAGGATCTGATGACTTAGGCATGGATTCCAGTGTCATAAATAGCTCCATTCTTCCAGTAACTAGGAATAACATTCTTGGGTGACTCTACCCAGTCGTAGCTCCCACTGAATTTCACCCTCAGCTTGAATGGTCCTTTTGGCGTGTTCTGGAGATCAAACACTGCCCCAAATGTTCTCCTCATCGCCTTCCAATCCTTGCCATCATTCTGTTATATCATCATCATTTCAATTTCAACACCCTCTTTAGTTGATGAGCATAAATCATATTAAAAGAATAGGAAACTAAAAAGAAGTGATTAAGTTGAAAGAAGATTCATACATCGGATATCTCGACGGCGACGACGTCGTTCATTCCAGGAACGTAGATAATGGCGATGGCGAGGTAGTTTGGATATTTGCTGGACTCGTGGATTTTGATCTTGACGTTGGAGCCATCGAATGTGCATGGCACCCTTTTGTATTCGACGTCGACGACGCCCTGGTTCTTGAGCTCTTGCGATGCTTTTCCGTCGCGTCCCAGTTTTAAGAAGCCATTAAGACTCATAATGAAGTCTGTTCTGTCTCCGGCGCCGAAGTCCGTCGTCACTATCATTGGGCCGCTGTAATCGCATAATTTCGAATCCTTGCACCTCACCTGAACGAACAACATATCGTTATATGAAATTAAACACGTATAAATATTATTTCATAGTGAGATTCAACTATGCAGACATGCAATCTATTCAATTATAGCATGGCAATCTACGTGGAAGAATTGTGTTTAATTGTTGTGAGTCATTAGTTAGTCCGTTATGACAACACACTTACTTGGTAGCAAGCACCGCATCCGGCGCCGCCTCTCCATAAGCCAGACACGCCGGCAACCATCCCATAGTTTACAGTTCGGCCGTAATCGCCATATCCACAAGCTCCAGCTATGTATAGATAGTAGCAAAATATCATTTCGTCAATAATATTTAGCAGGGAACCCTATATCTTTAAGAACATATAAAAGTAAACTATAGTTCTAAACTTATAACTCAAACTCATTGCAAGCTGGACGCGTATATGGCTTTGATTTTGAATATAAAGAACTTGATATATAAATGGTGAGGGATAAAAAGAGGAGTTTGACGCACTTGAGGTTCCATAGCCATCGGGGGTACTATAATAGGTGGCTCTGGAGTATGTGTAGCCTTGGGAGAAGCATAGTGCAGGCAAGAGCAGAACACAGACAAGGACGATTTGGTATTTAGGATGAAGTTCCATTGCTTAATGCCAATAATTCAAGAAAGAATAGAAAGTATTGGGTTTTCTGGTTGGTAGGCATGCAAAGACGTGGGTGCTATTTATAGGTTACAGTGGAGGCCTTGTGCATTCACTGAAACCGAGATTGTTCAAACTTCCCTTCGGATAGGGATTGGATTGGAATGTAGGACTAGGACCTACCATCTAGATCTTTGATGCAGTCAAATTGGAAAAAAGAAAAAATCATGTCAATCTTTTGCGTGTGTTTATAAATAATATTATTATATGTTATCGCAAGTTAGTTAATTTATGAATGCAATGCCAACAGAAGTTCAGTGAATTAAACGCATACCAAGAGTACGGCTTAAAAAATGAACTAGACTGTTATATATAATATATAGAATTTTTTATAAGTTTTATATTAATGTGATTTATTGGTTCATCAATATTATTATTTGTGTCTCATCGAAGCCCATAGCAAATTTATGGGATGATATTAGAGGCCTAAAATAGCAAGCATATTCTGGAAATTGAACGAATACATAAACATATTCACAAATGCCAATATTAATACAGAACTTAATGTTCTTAATCGATCAATAGTTAAAATAAAAATTAATAATTAGCCGTGAATTAAAGCCTACAATTTACTCTTTTAGATTTGCAACTTGTAAAAGAATATATACTTTGCTACTTTATGACATTTCTTAGCTTATTTTAAGATGGATCTTTAATTGAAACTCGTATCATTTTGTAGTTCCAATAATGATTCAACACTTGGCTCTCGAATTTACTGGCCAAAGAGATTTTCACAACGTATTTTCAAGGGTTCTGATGCATGGATTATCTTTGTGAAGATAAAGTGTAGATTACTCTTTAACAAGCTGCAAATCTGAAAAGATAACTTATATAATTTTGTTTTGAAAAATTATATCGTATATATGATGAGAAGATACGTTTATTATTATTTTTTCCAATGAATTCTAAGGTAGCTAGTAGATTGACTTTCACTTCTCCTAGTCGCTTAATATAAATGGGATGTACCTTTAGGAACGCGTTAATTATGATGTCATCCCCAAACTTTTTACTAGGATAACGACACATTTATACACTTGGCATGGTAAGGGTTTTAATTATAAAAGATCAAGAATGTTTATCAAGCTGTGATTGTTCTTAATTTCATTCAAGATCGAAACTTGAGTTTCTCCTACAAAGTGTTTTCGCAAAACATACATAAATTTTAACTTATGTAATGATCTAATTAATCTGCTTTATCTTATCCAATGGAAACTATTTTCTTTTTCTGACATTATTTATCTAATCTCTCTTATCCTCCTCCTCCTCCTCCTCCTTCTTTCCCAAATTCTGTGTGGCTCCACCTGCTGATGATACATACGAGGATAGAAAGGATAAAAAAAAACGGAAAAGCAATTCTCGAAATTTGAAATCTTAATTAAGCCGTACGTGTTGCCACTGCACTAATTAATTAATGTGGTCCGATGGAGTTCCAAAGGACGCTAATTTATGTTCACATTCTTCGTATTCTACCTCTGTCTTTATGTGGAATTCTAATTTCTTTCGCCATTCAGGCAAAAGAAAAAGGAGGGTGGACCAAAAAATATAAGCCTAATTAATAATCGATCCGCTAGGTCGTCGTGATCAGGTGAGAAAGTTAAGGTAAGAAAAAGACTTTCGAAATTTATTGAGATTTAAATGGGGTTAAATTTGATTATAAATATAAATATTTAATCTACTTCACCTCCAAAATCTATGACTTTTTTAAAAATATACCTATTGATCCTAAAGGATTCATGTCAAGTGATAGTCCCGTGCATATGATTGAATACCATAATTTAGGAAAGTCAATATATGTTTATTACAAATAATTAACTTAATTTAATTTTTAATTAATATCTCCAAATTAATTATTACTTTAGGTTCTTAATATAAGAACTAGTTGACTAATTTGAATAGATTAAGAAAGTTAATTAAGTTAGTTATTTGTAATAAATATGTGTTGTTTTTCCTAAAATATCGTTACTAATTAAGTGTATTAGTTAAAACTATAATTATTCTAAAGATGATTTTGGTAAAAAATAGATAAACATGAAAGACAAAGTAGATTGAGATATTATATTTATGATCAAAATAAAAAGTTAAATGAGTTTTTATATTAAAGACGGAAGATAGTATTTGGTTTTTATATTGAGGGTTGAAAATAGTGTATATATATATATATTCATGCAAATATTGATCGATGACATATTTGGACTTTGGCTGCGACTTTTCTTTTTCTTCTACGTTACCTATCACCTAAACGCACGCTTAGTTTATGACTATATATTATATTGGTTTCTTGATTATCTAGTTAATCCGTTCGTTTTTAGCTTATTGTTTGAGTCATATCAATATTTGGAGGCGGCCACGTTGGTCGTAGATGAGTACGAAAAAGCAAATATGAAATTAAATGAGGAGATAGATGTCAATGACAATATCAAAGTCACCACTCTAATCCTTAATTTTGCGGGCCGCCTCTAAAAATCACTCCCCTCATTTTTTGTTTTTTTTGTTTTTTCAATAAGCAACCTTGAATTTTATCAGTAAATTAAAAAATTAGCTAAAGACAATAAATAGATAGAAATTAAAATTTATTTCTTCAAAATACCTTTATTTATGGGGAAGATAAAGAGTATAAAAAAGATAATAAGAAAATCATTATAATAAAAAGAATTATGAAAGAAAGAAAATATAGATGGAGAGAGATGATGGTTTAAAAAATAAAATAATAAATATATTAGATATTAGACTAAGTAATTAATGAGAACGAAATAAGAAATTTGTTATAAAAATTTAAGATAACTTGTAAATATTGCTTATAGTTAGAAATAAGAAAGAGATGGTAATTGTTGCTTATAAAAAGAAACGGAGAAAGTATAAAATCTAAAAAGAATTAGGAAAACATATCATTCAATACACACACATCATTTCATTTCAATATATTGTATAAAATTAACTATTCCATAGTCTTATATTTTTTAGTAGACTTCAAACTCCGAGAACACAGCATAAACATGGAAACAAAATTCTTAAATAATATTCAGATCTTGTTATGTAGTAATAGTGTCATCATCAACACAATATATCCACTTTCATTATGTATCTTATGAAATGCATAAGATAACTTATGAATGGAATATATATATATATATAGAGATGATATTTTTGAAAGATTTTAGTCTTGGGGTTACTTTTTTCCAATACTATAATTACTCCAACTAATTCATCTGACTTGTTTATTAACTTGTGAGTCAAATAAATTGAGTTCTTTTTTTATCTTACCAAAAAAAAAATCAAATGAAACCCCCCACTTTTTCACTAAGTGTGTGTATATATGTGTGTTCTTATTAGAAATAATTTTATTCGAAATTTAATGTTAGAAAGTATAGCAATAGCCCTCCAAGTAATCACGCGCGAAATAAACGCCCTCTTTTACCATCCCATCGGCCCATTTTCTTTGAACGAATCGGCCCAACAACTATTTAAATCTTAAAGCCCATCTTACCAGCGTAGGTCCAATTCCAATTTCCATGGACGCTCCTCCTTTCCCTAACTCCTATTTGTTGCACCTGGATTTATTTATATATATATATATAATATTTTTTATTCTTAATATAAGACTTAATAGATTAATCTAAAAAAATTAATTAATTTAATTATTTGCTATAAATATGTGTTATCTTTTTTAAAATATCATTGTTAATCATATATATTAACTAGAATTATCATTTAATCAAATATTTAACATATGTAACCACTACAAGGAATACTTTTTAAAAAATATATATAAAAAAAAAGTGAATTGAGTCTTATATTTAAGACTAAATTAAAAATTAAACAAATTCTTATATTAAAAACTGAAAATATTATACAGAGAGAGAGATAAGGTATAAGAATGAAGAAGAGAATGGAATAAGAGCCTAATGAAAAGCGAAACTGGCTGACACCCGCCCAGTTTACTTTATTTGTACCATTTATAAAATTACTTCCACATGGTTCTGGCCCAAGTCCTCTTTGTGATTTATTTCATAGAATGAACAAATTACAGAGGCTGCGGTTATGGATAGAAATTGAGAGTTCCCATCGTCAGTGGCATAAATTTAGAATTTTTTTTAAAAATATTGTGTATTTAGTCTGTTAAATTAAACCCAGATGATCCAGGTCTACATGTTAACCCTGTTCCATGTCAAAAGCTTGCTGATAATCTGGGACGTGTCTGGGTCTAAAGCTGCAAGCAGGGGCGCTTCCCCTCCCTACCTCACACAGCTTTTTTCAAATTTACGCTCTGTACTGTTTGTTGGGTAACTCGGAGAATACGAATAGTTTAACTTTAACCCCTGCAAAACTCAAACTCATCCTCTCTTTGGTCCCTTTACAATGACCATGAGACCACTTCTTTACATGCATGGACAAAAACCAATGTCAATAATAATGAACGTTATGGATTGTTTTATGCTTGTTTGAAATGTCAACGTCAGAGCCGTTAGGTAAGGACTGGTGAACCCCTTTTTCCTGGCTCATTCATTAATTAAAGCTAGCTTAATTTAGAAGTACAATATGATGCCTGGCCGTTCGCACAACCAATATCTGAGTGGAAGGAAGGATGGAAGCAGACAAATAGGAGAACAAAGAGGTTTCTTTATTCATATATATAATGACAGTAACTCCAACTCAAATGCGAAAGTACCACACAGGAAGTCAGGAACTATAACCCCAGTAATCATATTCCAGCAGCCACAACACACTCGCAAACAATAAATTCGCGTACGCTAGTTAATAAACCCCAACTTCAGCACTAGTAATCAAACACTACATATAGATAGATCCTTGTTGGTTCTGCATCAGGATCTAATCTAGCTGAACTTGAGAGTCATAAGCGGCTCCGGCCTCCCAATTACCAGGAATAGCATTCCTGGCCTGAACCCAGTACAGACCCGCACGCCCTCTCACCTGGAACCTCAACATCAGTTCTCCACGTGGCGGGTTCTCCGCATCA